AGCCAGCAAACGCACAAACAAGCACCACGTGCTGCGTAATTGTCCGAACGAGGTCAAACCAGTTCCTATGGCTAGGGAATAGAATTTACTAGAGAACATTGTGAAAAAATAGTGGTTAAAAAGGCATCCAGATGTCGGCGCAGTGACATGTTCCGCACAGGCCTATCCTTGCACAGATTCAAGCCAGCAAACGCACAAACAAGCACCACGTGCTGCGTAATTGTCCGAACGAGGTCAAACCAGTTCCTATGGCTAGGGAATAGGATTTACTAAAGAACATTGTGAAGGCATCCAGACGTCGGCGCAGTGACATGTTGCGCACAAGCCTATCCTTGCACAGATTCAAGCCAGCAAACGCACAAACAAGCACCACGTGCTGCGTGATTGTCCGAACGAGATCAGACCAGTTCCTATGGCTAGGGAATAGGATGTAATAGAGAACAGTGTGAAGAAATAGTGGTAAAAAAGGCATTCAGACGTTGGCGCCGTGACATGTTGCGCACTGGCCTATCCTTGCACAGATTCAGGCCAGCAAACGCACAAACAAGCCCTACGTGCTGCGTAATTGTCCGAACGAGGTCAAACCAGTTTCTATGGCTAGGTAATAGGATGTTGTAGAGAACAGTGTGAAGAAATAGTGGTAAAAAAAGACATCCAGACGTCGGCGCAGTGACATGTTGCGCACATGTCTATCCTTGCACAGATTCAGGTCAACAAACGCACAAACATGCGCAACATGCTGCGTAGTTGTGCGAACGCGGTTAAACAAGTTCCTATGGGTAGGGAAAAGGATGTATTCTGTAACTGTGTGAAGAAATAGAGGTAAAATAAACAACGAGACATTGAATCGACAACATGTTCTGCCCTTGCCAAACATTTCTAATTTTTCCCGCCCAAATACCTTACCTAGTTTATACAATAGCATCGGTTAAGAGGTGGATAGGTTTAAGTCTGGAGTTGAATCCAACATTCTGTTGCATAATTACTACCAAATCCAACAGTATGAAATTAGTTCCATTACATGAAATACATAACAGAAACAAAGCTGTGTTTGGATTGTTCGAAATTGGTTACATAGCGGTAACCTTCACTTCCATAACGTGGCCTGCACACCACAAACGGTTCCTCGCCAAAGGACAACCAGTGTGTGGCACACGCTCCAGACATCCCGCAATCTATCGCAATTTCAGCCCAGCCTCAAAACGACCAATGAAAACGCTCGTAACCACGCAACCGGAAACTCTGCGTAAACCACCACCAACCACGATTTGTCCTCCACGTGTACAGTGCGCGTCTGCAAACAGAGATAAACGGGGGCAAGAAGGGGAAAACACGAAGGGGCTTCGACAATCTGCTGCAATTCCTCGTCATACACGATGATAAACTGCAGGGGAAAACGGTGCACCAGATATCACCTCATAAACGATGGAAAACCATCAGCCTCCAACTCGAAAAATGACCCCCTCCCCCCCCCCCCCTCCATACTCGGCAGTTTCACATTTTTCTGATGGAGGGGTTACTCCCCGACGAGGTCATTCTCGAGATCATCGCGCGGGTCTCGGACGCGCGCGCTCGCAACTGCTGCGCGCTCGTCTCGCGGCGATGGCGCATGAGCGAGCGCCTCACGCGCACCTCCCTCTCCGTCCGCCGCTCCCTCGCGGACCTTCTGATGCTTCCGCGATGCTTCCCCAACGTGCGCCGACTTGATCTGTCCCTCTGCCCCCCCTGTGGGCAGCCGCTGCTCCTCGCGGGGCCCGCGCTGGAGGTAGCTACGACGCTCCGCGCGGCCTTTCCGCGGGTGACCTCCCTCCGCGTGCACGTGCGGGACCGGAACGACGTCCAGTGCGTGGCGGCCACATGGCCGGGGTTGGAGCACGTGGCTTTGATCCGCTGGCACGAGTTTTCCGCCGCGGAAGCAGCAGCGGCCGCAGGAGCAGCAGCAGCAGCAGGGCTAGGAGCAAACACTAACAACAACACCACTGACAACCCTAATTCGAATGCAAACCCGCTGGGAACCCTAGAGCTGACCCCGCTGCTGGTGTTGTGCAGCCGAGTACAGAGCATAGACCTATCCGAGTTCACGTGCTTCCCAGACCATGTTACTGATGCCTTCACTGCTGCTCCCCAAGCCGTCGCTGCCATTGCTGCTGCTGCTGCTGCTGCCGCCACCGCCGCCGCCACTGCCACTGCCGCTGCTGCTTCGGCCAGTGGAGCAGCAGCAGCAGCGGAACCCCCGTACAAGCCCCCCCGCGCGCCTCTCCCCCGCCCCTCCGCGCCCATCTCCGCTCTCCGCCACCTGAACCTCCTCAAGTCCTCCCCCGGCGCCTTTAAAGCGTCAGACGTGCGCTCAATCCTCGCTGCCGCCGGCCGCACCCTCCTCTCCTTCCGCTGCCTCGTCGAATTCGACCCGCGCCTCTCCGATTCCCTCTCAGACGAAACCCTAATTGAGATCGCCGAGCGGTGCCCGGTGCTCACTGCGCTACAGCTGGTGGATTCGTCGCTCTGGGCGGCGCCCTCGGGATTGTCGCTGGCGCTGGGGGATCATGACGACGCGCTGCCGCCCGATATGGACGCACGGGTCACGCCAGGCGGCATTCGGTCGTTTCTAGTGCGGTTGCCGGGGCTGGAGGAGCTGGATTTGCGGCCGGCACAGTATCTGAGAGGGGCAGATGTGAGTCTGTTCGGTGGTGCTGCTGGTGCCTTCGCTGGTGGTACCACTGCCGGTGGTGGAGGAGGTGGAGGGAGGGGTGGTTTGACAGCAACGGTGAGTCTGGGCCAGCTGAGTCCGAACCTGAAGCGCCTGCGGCTGGGTCAGCTGGTTTTCGCCCACAATGACTCGCTGGCGCCAGTGCCTGCATCAGGGGAAGGTACATCCTGGGAAGGTACATCTGCACAGGGATCATTTGGAAAAACACCCTCCTCCTCGTCTGCATCGTCCTCATCAGCAGCACAAGGAACCACCACCCCTTTCTCCACATCCACCATCCTCCCTGGAGGCCTTGAAGCTCTCGACTTCTGGCAAGCCCCTTCACTTCCCCTGCGCTGCCTGCTCCCCCTCGCTCTCTCCTGCCCGCGCCTCAAGGAACTCAGCATCTGGGGCTGCCCGGACCTCACCCCGCCGAGCCTGGAGGCCGTGGCTCGGGTGTGCCGGCACTCGCTGGTTCGGGTGACTGTAGTGAAGTGCTGCAACCTGCCCACAGCAGCGGTGCTCAGGGCTCTCTCCCCCGTTAGAAGCACACTGCAGCACCTGCACTGCTCCTGTGACTGGTTCTGCCCGAACAGCAGCGTAGCCCCTGTTTCCCCGGTTCAAAGCGGTCCAGATGGAAATGGTGGCGGTAGTGATGGTACTGGTGCCGGTGCTACTGGTGGTGCTGCTGGTGAAGGGGCAGGAGAGGGAATGGTGAAGCAGGCGGGGGGGAGGCGGCGTATGGAAGGCAGGGCAGGAGCAGACGGCACAGAAGAGCTGCTGTACGGCTCAGAAGCAGCACAAGACCTTTCCACCGCACCGGACTCCTCCGAATGGCCTGCGCTGCAGTCCCTCACTCTCCTCGCTCCCTTGGGTACCTTCCTTTTTCAACTCCCCTCTGTCGGCCTCCTCCACTGCCCCCTCCTCTCCCACGTCCACATCCGAGTGTACGGCGACTGTCGACTCGCAGCCGGCGGCCCTGGGGCGGCGGGCTTCGGCCTTTCCTGTCTGGCCAGCTACCCGGCGCTGCGGTTTTTGCGGCTCGATTTGACGCAAGTGGTGGGGCATTCCCTGAGCTGCCCACCTGGGCTAGCCTTTGATGTGATGGCCTGGGAAAGGTTTTACCTGCATGGAATCCAGCTGCTGCCAGGGCTAGAATCGCTGCACTACTGGCCGCCGTCGGACTGTGATCTCAACCGTCGATCCATGTCGATGCCGTCTGCTGGGATCCTCGGGTCGTGCCAGTCGCTACGCCAGCTGACGGTGCATTGCACGACGGCCAATGAGCATCTGCTGAATGTGGTGGTGCGCGGGGCTAGAGGCATGCGGGATTTGCACGTGCTGGGGGACTGCTATCCCGCTCCTCCCGATGACACCTATGCGGGTATGCTCAGGCCGATTTCGTTCCAGAGGCTGATCAAAGTGCTGGATGACAGAGGGTACCCTGATTGATTGATTTGCTCGTGCTGAGTCTGCATGTTGCTGGGGGGTTGCTGTCTGGCTCTGCCGAATGACGCATTCGGTATGCTGGCATGCTCCGGCCGGCTTCCTTTCAGAGGCTGATCAAGTTCCAGGACGCATGAGGGTGTCCTGATTGGTTCATTCATTGGCTCATTGAATGATTGGGAGGAGCAGGCTTCGATAGGATACTGCAGTTGATGCCCTTGCAAATACCTATTTTTGTCATTACTGTGATTTTTGTTTGCTAATCTTCCCTGTTTACACCACTAAAGAAGTGTGACGGGTAGGGTGTGCGCGTTGTTGCTACCCTTACCAGTAGTACGTGCGCCGGGACTCGGGACGGGAGGGTGGATGGATGGTGTGGGAGTGGATTGACAGCAGAATCTTTTGGAGTAATGAGCAAGTACCGTACAAGACAGATGGTCAACACAAGCTGACCAAAGGCCTCACATCACACCGAGTCCGGTCTAGTGTATCCATGCATGCCTTCACTCCTGGATTGCTTGCACTGTGGCTGTGGGTCCAAAGCACAGAATACGGGAGAATGGTGTGAGGCATCTAAAAATTCCATCACTCTAGGTACAAACCACAGCATATGGGCGCAAGTGTGAGGGAACGCCAATCTACCACAAGCCCCTCCCCTCGGTGCACCTGAGCCAGTCCCTGTTCTTGCTCAGCATCTGATTGCCCATCTCGAGCTTGTCAGAACGCCTGAGCCAGTCCCACTGCTCATTAAGCATGTGATCGTCCGTCTTTCTTGAGCCGTGTGTCCATGCAAGTAGGCCAGCCAGAGGCAGTGGCAGTGGCAGCGGCGGCGGCGGCGGCAGCGGCAGCAGCAGCAACAGGAGAGCCCTCAGTTGTCGGTGAAGGCAAGGCCAAGCCCGTCGGTGCGTTTGAGCCAGTCCCAGTACTTGTTCAGCATGTGATCTTCCGGTCTCACCTCCCTCCACCTGCCCTCACAGAATATCGCATGCGCGTCCGCTGCATACCTGGCATGGTGAAGAATGGAGGGGGAGGGATGTGAGAGCACAGAGAGACACGGGAGTTGGTGAGCATGTGACTGTGTGACCTCACTTCCCTCCATCTGCCCTCACAGGTTATGGAGTGCGTATCTACTGTGTACCTGGTATGGTGAAGAAATGGATGGGGAGGGAGGGATGTGTTGCGAGAGCACAGACAGGCACAGGGCTTATTCAGCATGTGATCGTCCGGCCTCACCTCTCTCCACCTGCCCTCACAGAATATCGCATGGGCGTCCGCTGCGTAACTGCCATGGTGAAGGGGAGAAGAAGGTGGGGCAGAAGGGGAGGGATGTGAGAGCATGTGGTCGTTGGCCTCACCTCCAACCAACTGCCCTCACAGATTATCGCATGCGCGTCCGCTGCATACCTGGTATGGTGAAGACACACAGCAGGCAACAGGCAGCAGCAAGCAGCAGGCAGCAAGCAGCAGGCAGCAAGCAGCAGGCAGCAAGCAGCAGGCAGCAAGCAGCAGGCAGCAAGCAGCAGGCAGCAGGCAGCAGGCAGTGGAGAGTGTAAAAGAGCAAGAGAGTGTGAGAGTGATGTGGAGCAAAGGCAGGCACAGGAGAGAGCGGGAAATAATCGACAAAGAGCGGGGAGCACACAAAGGCAGAAACAGCTTCAGACCTCTAACATCTCATGCTCCACATATCATGTCCCCTGCCATATTCACTACTTCACCCGTCCCCTCCCCACACCGAACACCTCCTCCAAACAGCTTCTCTCATTTGAGAATCATTGGATCACGGCATCACCCCCTGAACCCCCTCCCTCCCCCCCCCCTCCCTCTCTCTCTCCGCCCTTCTCCCACCCTCTCACTCCCCCCTCTCCCCAACCCCTCCTAGACACACACACGTACTTGCCAATGCCGTGCAGCTGCCTCACGTCCGTCCAATCGCCCCTCAGGAACTCCTCTGAGAACCGTTGGATCATGGCGGCGCGCTTGTTGTGCAGCCCAAGGGACTGGATGGTGCGCGCGATCTCAGCCGTCGATGCTGCGATGGCTGCCTTTGGAGTGGGGATGAGGCGGAAGAGGTCCCAAATCACTTTATGGAGCTGCAGAGGGGAGAGGGGGGGAGAAGGGGAATGCGGGCAATCTCAGCCGTCGGTGCTGCGATGGCTGCCTCTGGTGAGGGGATGAGGCGGAAGAGGTGTAGGGGCCAGGAAAGAAGGGGAAGAGCGTAGGTTGAGGGGTCAAAAGAACTAGTGAAAGGGGATGAGGCAGACGAGGTCTCAGGTGACTTAAAGGAGCTGCAGTGGGGTTGAAGAACGGGGGCAGGAAGGACGAGGTAGGGGAGGGGGCGGAAGGAGGAGAGCAGATGTTGAGGGACCAAGAGAGACTAGTGAGAGGGGATGAGGCGGAATAGGTCCCAGATCACTTATGGAGCTGCGGTGGGAGGGGGGTTGGGGGGGAAAGGACAGGAGGAAAAGACAAGGGGATGGGACGGAATAGGTTTCAGATCACTCGGTGGAGCTGCAATACCGGGGGGGGTGGCGTGGGGGGAGGAAAGAGGGTGGGTGAAGGGGACATCAACTGTTAGTGCAAGAGAGACAAGTGTAATCAGAGGCGTGGGTGCAGCGATGGTTGGGGTAGTGCGAGGGCATCAGGTGGAATAGGTCCCAGGTTACTCGGTGAAGCTGCAGTTGGGTTGAGGAAGAGGGGGGAAGGGGGACGAGGTAGGGGGAGAGGGTGGAAGGGAGAGAGCGTAGTTTGAGGGGTCAAGATGACTAGTGCAAGGGGATGAGGCGGAATAGGTCCCAGAGAGAGCAATGAGCAGTGCCATTTGGTCTGTGGTTACAGCTCTAGTGGGTATAGGCTAGCAGATGAGGCCAACTGCGAGAGTGAGCCCAATTCCAGATGGCTCGGTGGGAGTGCAGCAAGAGGAAGGGGGTTCGCAACAGGGCCTGCAACAGAGCACACGGGGCGAGGATCAAAAGTACACAGCGCAGCTGGGGAGCAGGAGGAGCAGGGATCAGGAAGCGGATAACTGTATGGAGCTGCAGTGGAGGTTTGGCCGAGGGATGAGGGCGGGGAAGAGGAAGGGGGGTGGGGGAGGTGTAGGGAGAGGGGAGGAAGCGAGAGATGGAAAGGTGAGGGATCAAGAGGGACTGGCGCAATCAGAGGAATGGGTGCAGCAATGGTCGAACCAGTCAAGGGGATGTGGCGGGATAGGTTCCAAATGACTGGGCGGAGCTGCAGTGGGGGGGGGGGGGTGGGGGTGGGGAGGGGGGGATATGGGACATTTAATCCTTAGTGCAAGCAACGGACTAGCACAATCAGGGGCGTGGGTACAGCAATGGTCGAACTAGGCGAGAAGATGTAGCAATGGTCAAGGGGATGTGGCGGGATAGGTTCCAAATGACTGGGCGGAGCTGTAGGGACAGGGAGGAGGAGGGAGCAGCAGAGAAAGAAAAGGAGAGGGAGAGGGCAGCGGAGTGCGGGATTTACGCAGACCAATGCAACTAAGTCTATGGGTGCAGAAAAGGCAGATTGGGGCAAGGGGATGCGGCGGAATAGGTCACAAGTGAACGGCTAGAGCTGGGAGCATGGAGGCATGGGAGGGAAGCGAGGGATTAAAAGAGACTAGTGCAAGTAGAGGCGTGAGGGTGCAAGTAGAGGCGTGAGGGTGAGTTCCGCGATGGTACCCTTAATCAAGTGGATGAGGCGGAATAGGCAATCAGCGGTCCTACGCAAAGAGGAAAGGGGGTTGCAACAGGGAGACATGGGGTAACTAAGTGTATGTTTTTTGAGAATTCTCAAAAAGGAAACGAGGAAGTGGGGCTTTCAATGAGCGGTGTAGCTGAGGAGCAGGGGGTAGAGGAATGCAAGGCACATGGTGGTGAGGTATAGGCCACTCCATCAGTGCACGTGCGTATTTACGTCCAGACCAGGTTTAGCGTGATGTATGTATGTGGAAGAGAGTGGGGGGAATGGAATTGTAGTCCTTCCCGACTGCCGTGATAATTCATAATGACAACTAGGGTATGTACTCTGATAACGAGTTGTGGTGGGAGGGGAAACCAGAGAATGGAGGAAGGGGGGCGGGGGGCAGAGGAGAGGGAGGTTTGGCTGGTAGAGTTTTGCAGCAGTAATGTGGTTTTGTACTCCCTGGCAGGAGCGCTAAGACAGCAGAGAAAAAATGAAACGCCGATGCCGGGGATCGAACCCGGGTCTCTCGCGTGACAGGCGAGGATACTCACCACTATACTACATCGACTTTGATACACGGTGTCAGGATAACTATCCGATTGGGAAAATGAACAACACGCATCAAGACCTTCTCAATGCTTCTCTGTAGTGCCAAAGACGCTCACCTGCCTGCCAGCCGTCTTGTTTAGCAGCATGCAGGCAACCAGCAGTCTCCAAGGGTCACGATACAGGCGCTCCTGAGTGGGGGATGTGGGGGGAGAGTGGAAAAGGGGGTGGTGGAGAAGGGAGGAAGGGAGAAGGGCGGGGGTAGAGAAAGAGTGGAGAATGAGTAACACAAAAGGCGCGGGTGACAGTTCAGCACACAATAGCCCACCACAGTGCACCGCACTCAAGAGCAGCCCACCTGAATGAGGCCGAAGGGAGACACAGGCGGCACCCATGCCCCAGTTGACGCTACCACACCATCAGTCCCCGCCACCCGGCCTGCTTGCACTGTTGTCACTGCACCTTCGTCCTCCGGCCCTTGTGAAGCCACCCCATGCGGCCCCATCAGTCGGCCTGCTTGCGCTGCTGCCACTGCAGCGTTCTGCCCTTGTGAAGCCACGCCATCTCCTTCTTGCTTGATCCCTACATCTCCTTGCTTGATCCCTACATCTCCTTCTTGCTTGATCCCTACATCTCCTTCTTGCTTGATCCCTACATCTGCTTCTTGCTTGATCCCTACATCTGCTGCGCCGGCCTCCTCTGCTCTGCACCCTCTGATCTCCCTCATTCCTCTGCTCTCCCTCATCCCTCTGCTCCTCCTCTTTCTGCTGCTGCCAGCAGCACTCCTACCCTCTCTCCCCTTCTTCTCTCCTCCCCTACATCCTTGCCCCACCGCCTCTCGCTGCCCCTCCTCCTCTGCACTCCCCTCACGACCATACTCTCCGTCCTCACTCTTCCCTTCCACCCGACCTTTGCTGTCCCTTTCTCGCATCTCCTCTGCTTCTGCATGTCCCTCACACTCCTCTCCTTCACAACACTCCTCCCCACCCACAAGCACGGATGACGTTGATGACGTGGCACACCACCCTTCTGACTCAGCCACCTCCCCCCCTCCCTCTCCGCCTCTTACAACAGCAGCAGTCCCTTTCTCCCTCCCCTCCTCTCTCCTCTCTTCACAATTTTCCCTAGTTCCATCCTCCCTCTCCTCCCTCTCTCCATCTTCCCCCATTCCTGCTGTTGTGCATCGACCAATCACAGGCTTTCCCCCTCTCCTCTCCATCCTCCTTACACACTCCACACCCTTCAGCCCCTCGTTGTCTCTCAACCTGTCTCCGTGGCTCAATTCCCTTCTGCCACGTGGCAGAGACACGACAGGCAGTGCCAGCACAATAGGTGCACCCTCGTTCCCTCTGCTCCAACCCACAGCCCATTCCCCTTCCCTCTCCGCTCCCCCTCCCCCCCTCCGTTGCCCCTTCCCCCTTCGGTCTTCCTTCCCCATTTTCTCCCCCTTCCCCTTTGCTCCTCAACCACTTCTCCCTTCCGATTTCCCTCCTTGGTTCTCTTTTTATTCCCTTGCCCAATACAACGTTCTCCTCTCCGCCATCTGCCCCTTCTCCTCCCCTTTCCGCCACACCCCCTCGTCTCCTCTTTCCTCTTCCCTCTTTCGTTCCTCCCCCACTCCCAATCTCGTCACTCACGTTACATCCACCTCCGCTTTCCACGCCCCCCCTTTTGCCGTTAGCCCCATTCACATCGCCTGCTGCACGGGTGGGACTGCTTCCGCGCAGTTTCTTGAAGCCGCAAAAAAGAGATCTTTGCGGACTGCCCGTTGCGGGACCAGGTAGGTTGCTAGTGAGTAATTTCTTCGGGCTGCCCGTCGCTGCTTTTTCTGGACTGCCCGTTGTCGTTTTTCCCGGGCTGCCCATGAACCGCCATTGGTCGAAACTATCTGATGATACTCCCGGGGACGCCGGTACGTACGGCACGGAGACGTTTGGGGAGAGCGGGAGATAGCCGCGCGGAACGTAGGGAGAGGGGGAAACTTGCGGGGACGGGGAGGCAGGTCCAGCGCGCGGAGGAGTCCGCGGAAGAACGGCGGGCTCCGCGTGCTGCGGGCCCGACGAATCTGGGGAGAAAGGTGGAGCGAGGGATGGCGGAACATGAGGGAATACGGGCGCAGAGCTATGCGGAAGGAGAGCGGGGAAGGCCTCCGGATGGAATGATGGCAGCGCGGGCGACAGGAGATCGTCGCTCGGCGACACGGCGATGTCGCCTTGCGAAGCCTCCTCGTGCGACGGCAGATCGTCGCCTGGAGGAGCCTGCGACGAAAAAGCGACAGGTTCTTCGTCGTTGGGAAGCGATAGGATGACGTCAGGAGGTGAGGAGACGACGTCGGACGGGGTCAAGATGACGTCAGCGGGGTCGTCACGGGAAAGGAATGGGACGGTAGGGTCATCGACGTTCAACTGGTGCTCGTTTAGCCGCGGTGCGATTGGAGGCGCCTCGGGATCTTTTCGCAGCTGTGGTACTGTGGCGGCCATGACCCCAACGTCACTGTTTTGAGATAAAATCTAAAATAAAAAATAAAAAACCGATCAGCTGTGGCTCTAAATTCGACAGGCGAGAACAAGCTGTCACTCTGAAGCCTCTCAATCTGCCGCTTATGTCGTACTCCGTCGTTCTGTGCTGTTGCTTATTTGTTGTGCTGTGCATGCCGAGGAAATAACTCACGACTTCGACGGGAAATCTTTGTGTGGTGTGTGTGCGTGGGGGGGGGGGGAGGATGGGGCGGAGAGGGCGGGAGTTGGAAAGGGGGGAAGAAAGGCAGCTGGTGGGGCGAATGCGGAGTTGAGCAGAAGGGGAAAGTGCTGTGCACGCACGACCCCAATGACCTGCGGTTTCTGGTCGTGCGCGGAATTGCGGAAGCGCGAGGTGTTGGGCGTCTCGCAGCGCGCGCGATCTTTCTGACGCGCTTTTTGGCGGGAGCGTGATGGTGACGAGGGTTTCGTCTTTGCGACGAGATCGCGAAAGATCGTCAACACGTTACCACTTATTTGCAACTTATTTGTACAGTTCACTCCATTCCGAGCCGAGTTCTATCACATTTCAATTTGGCCATTTCAACTCCATGTCAGCGCAATCTACCCCCGCTTTAGTCACCAAAAAAGCCACTTAGGGCGAGGCAGAGACTGCAGGTGCAGCCCAAGTTAGAAAAACTAAATGCAATTCAGCAGAACAGCGCTCGTTTCTATCACGATCGTTAATGCAGCGTGTTCCCGCCACACCCGCGACGATGCTCACTTCGCGTCGCCTTTATGTCGTAGAGGCATACCCGCAACGGAGCTATTTGCAGGTGCAGCTTCGATAGTGCCTTGTCGAGCTTTTACATACCTCTATCTTTAACTCTTTAGCCTGAATCCGCCCTTCGCTTTCCGCTAATGGCGCGGACGGACGGCCAGCTTGCGCTGCTCCACGTGCAGCGCGCCAATCGCCCGCGCATTGCGCCGATCCTCCGCGTTGTCACTACTGGCGCGGCCCCGCTCCCAGTGGTGGCGCTCGCGGCGCAAGGGCAGCTCGGGAAAGGGCAGGTGGCGCAACCGCAGCCTGCGCAAGCGCAGGCGCAACTAGTGGCGGGGCGCGCGGGGCAGGTAGTGGCGCCACTGCAGGCCGGTGCCCCCGGAAAAAGCGGGCCCCCTTCCGCCACTTCTGCCGCTCCGCCTGCGCCTGTTATCCCCCCGCCCGCTGCTGCTGCCCCGCTCGCAGGCGCCGCCGCCAAGCCCTCCGCCTCCTCCGCTGCAGAGGAAGCAGTACGTGAACAGAAGGCGGAGGCTGAAAAGCGTGCAGGAGGAGAACCCTCAAACGTGGCAGCAGGCGCGACGAGAGAGGTTGGGGGGGCGGAAGAGGAGGAGAGGGGGGGTGAGGGTGGGAAAGGGAAGGAGGGGGGGAAGGCGGAAGGGGCGGAGGGTGCAGGGGGACAGGCTGGTGCGGCAGGGGCTGCTGGCGTGGGTGGTGCTGGCTCTGGGGTTCGTGATGAGGCAAAGACTGCTGCTGCTGGTGCTGCTGGTGCTGCTGCTAGTGATGCTGCGGGGGTGGCTGGAGCTGATACAGCCGCTGCTACAGGCGCAGCCACAGTGCCAGCTACAGTAACAGCCACGGTCGCTGCTACAGTAGCGACTACAGTGACTGCTACAGTGGCGGTAGACGCGGAGCACCCCACGGTGGCCACGGTTGTCCTGGAGCCTGCTGGCGCTGTGCGCTTTGAATCGACTCCCTCCACCCCCGCCCGCCCGCTGCCCCTCAAACCACAAACTAAACCCCCGGCTGCCGCAGCAGCTGCCACAACAGCAGCAATGAGAGGAGGGAAGATGAAAGAGGAAGAGCGGGTGGGTGACGGGGCAGCAGAAGGTGGGGGGGAAGGGGAAAGGGGAGGACGAGGGAGGGGAGAGGGAGGAGAGGGAGAGGCGGGAGGCGCAGAGGCAGGTGGGCGCAGGGGGAAGCATGCAGGTGCGGTAGCCATGGCAGGAGGAATCGACAGAAGAGAGGGTGATGGGGAGAGTGGAGGAGGAGGGAGAGGAGGAGGGAGTGGGAAAGGAAGTGGGAAACATGGCACTTGTAAGCTGCCGCCCGCAAAGCACTCCAAGTCGTTCAAACTCTCGTCTTCTTCGAAAAAGCCGACTCTCAAAGTGACCTTTGACTCATCCCAAAAGTCATCTTCCCTCAAGAAGCCGTTTTCCTCCAAGTCTAAGCACGCCCCGCTGCCGCCCAAACACGCCGCCCCTGCCAAACATGCCGCCCAGTCCAAGCAGTCTGCCGCCCAGAAGCGGGCGGCGGGGGGGAAGCAGCCGCTGAGCCCCACTAGGCATTCTGCCAGGCTGGCGCTGATCTCCCCCGCCCGGAAGAAAGGGCGGTGGGGTGGGGAGGAGTGGGAGGGCGGTGATGCGGATGAAGGGGAGGAGGGAGATGGGGGGAGGAAGGAGGGGAGCAAGAAAGGGGCAGGGAAGGAGGAGGAAGGTGGAAGAAGGGGGGCGGATGGGGAGAGGGATGGGGAAGGGAAGGGGGACGATGGGCGGAAGGGGAAAGGCGTGTGGAAAGGGAGAGTGGAGAGTGGTGCAGATGGTAAAGCGATGGGTCGCACAGAAAGAGGAGGCAGCAAGGGAGTGAGAGAGGAAACGAGCAGCAGAGGTGGAGGGAAGGGAGAGAAGGAGAGGTGGGGGGGGAAGGGGTTGCGGGAGAGAGGAGGTCAGGGTGGTAGGGAGGGGGTAGAGGAGAGTGGAGGGGAGAGGCAGGGGGAGAGGAAGGGGGAGAAGGGAGGAGGGGCGCGAAGGGAAGTGGGGGGTGTAGGAGGGGAGGGTGGAGGGCGGTTCTCAAGGAAGAGGAGGCGGGGAGAGGCGGATGACAGTGCCGGTGCTGCTGCTGCTGCTGCTGGGGGTGGTGGTGATGCGGGTGCTGCCAGTGCTGAGAGTGGTGCTGCTGCCGATGATGCTGGAGGTGCTGCTATTGCAGGGACAGGGTTGAGCGAACGGGGTAGGCAAGAGGGGAGGGAGGGGAGAGAAGGGAGAGAGGGGAGAGAAAGAGCAGACGGTGCAGAGGAGGAGGCAGAGCAGCAGCGGAGCAAGCGTCCCGTGGTTGAGGGGAGGGGCGCAGAACAGAGGGACGGGCCGAGAGTTGGTGCAACAACCCCCACCAAAGCCAAAGCCAAGGCTACACCTAGTGCTGCCGCCGCCGCTGCTGCTGCTGCTGCTGCTGCTGCTGCTGCTCGGCCCATGGCTCCCCCATCCACTCGCTCCGCTACCGTCCTTTCTCCCCCTCGCCCCTCCCATCGCGCTCCTCTGCGCCCTCCCCCTCGTGCCTCCCCTCGTGCGCCCCCCCCTGCTCCCCCGCGCCCGGCTGCCCCGTCTGCAGCAGCGGACCGCGCAGCAGCAGCCATGGCTGCTGCCAGGAGCCTGGGGGGCTTGGGAGGGGGGCTGGACTGGCCTCCTGTTGACACTCCCGAGGCAGAGGCTTGCGCTGACGCCCACGCCACTCCAGGGAGCCTTGAAATTTCTGAAAATCCCGAGGATTCAGAGAGTTTTGAGGCTCTTCAGATGGGTGGGAAGGCTGTAAAGGCAGCAGAGGTGGTGGTGGTGAAGTCTGAAGCAGAGGCGAGGGGGAGGGGTGGGGGCAAGGTGGGTGTGGTGGCGGAGGGTGAGAAGGGTGGTGCGGGGAGGGGGAGTGAAGGGGGGAGGAGAGGGGGGGAGGAAGTGAGGGGGAGAGGGGGAAGGGTGGCAGGGGCGGCAGGGGCGGCAGGTGTGGGAGCAGTGGTGAAGATTGTATTAGCGGCTGAGGCGAGGGGTGGTGGGATGGGGGAGGTAAGTGGTGATGGTGGGAAGGAAGATGACTGGATTATGTTGGAGCAAGAGGAGGAGGGGGAGGGGGAGGAAAGAGGGAAGGGAGGAGGGAGTGAGAGGGCGGAGCAGGGGGGGATAGCATTGGAAGAAGAGGGAGAGGAGGAGAGTGTGGATGTGGAGGAAGCTGATGATGATACTGATCAGGAGGGGGAGGGGGAGGATGAGGAAGATGAAGAGGAGGATGAGGAGGATGATGATGAGGGGGGGTTTGACATGGATGGGGGGGCGGTGGCAGCGCTGGCAGCGGCGGGGATAGACATCAGCATGCATGGCACGCGGAGCCTCTCAGAGGCTGACGTGGCAGCTGCTTGCCACCAGTGAGTGCTAGTGTGTGTCACTGCATGCGTGCATGCATCCCACCGCCGCCACCTGGCACTGCCACCATGCTGCTGCTGGTACTGCCTCATCCTCTCACAGTCTCACTCTCCTCCCCCATCCCTCTGGTTACATCAGGTACGGAGCGGCCTTCATAACGGCTCTCCTGCACGAGGTGGCTCAGGATGCACCCTTGAATGATGCACCCTTGAATGATGCACCCTTGAATGATGCACCCTTGAATGATGCACCCTTGAATGATGCACCCTTGAATGATGCACCCTTGAATGATGCACCCTTGAATGATGCACCCTTGAATGATGCACCCTTGAATGATGCACCCTTGAATGATGCACCCTTGAATGATGCACCCTTGAATGATGCACCCTTGAATCATGCACCCTTGAATGATGCACCCTTGAATCATGCACCCTTGAATCATGCACCCTTGAATCATGCACCCTTGAATCATGCACCCTTGAATCATGCACCCTTGAATCATGCACCCTTGAATCATGCCTATACCTCCCCAACCCCCCTCCCGTCCCGTCCCTCACAACCCACGTCAGGTACGGAGCAGCCTTCATAATGGCTCTCCTGCACGAGGTGGCACGGGAGGCATCCTACAACGAGCCATACACCCACCCACCCTCACAATGCTTTCATGACACATTCCCCCCTCAACACCCACACAACCCCCTTCAGGTACGGGGCTGCCTTCATAATGGCTCTGCTCCACGAGGTGGCACGGGAGGCATCGTACCGCCGCCACCTCCACTGGCCGTCCATAGCCGCCCGCCTCTCGGCCAATCACAGCTTCCCCGTCGCCAGCCTGGCGCTCTGCCAGCTGCTGTGGCGCTGGCTGGCCTACGGCCGCCCCTTCTCGCACCAGGACACGCTGCCCTCTGCACCGCTCCTGGTGAGTGTTGAGGCACCTTGAAACAACGTCGTTTCCTGTCTTGTGATTTGTGTGCTGGCTGGCCTACGCCCGCCCCTTCTCGTACCTGGACACGCTACCCTCCGCGCCCCTGCTGGTAAGATGCTGCTCCCCTCAGGTGTTTTCGCCTCTGCCAGCTGCTCCCCTCAGGTGTTTTCGCCTCTGCCAGCTGCTCCCCTCAGGTGTTTTCGCCTCTGCCAGCTGCTCTGGCGCTGGCTTGCCTACGGCTCCCCTTCTCTCGCACCTTGGCACCCTCCCCTCCGCACCCCTGTTGGTGAGTTTCCTCCTCTGCACTTGCGTGGTCGTTGCGCTGCCTCGCCTACAACCACCCACCCCTGCCCACCCCTTCTCGCACCTCCGCACGCTGCTCTCCGTGCCGCTGCTGGTGATTTTTTATGGGAGTGGCAGGAGGAGGAGGAGAGGCGATTTAGAGGACGAGCCGGAATACCCTCTTAAACCATCGTTATTTCGAATACCTGTTTAGCTCATGTCATGTGCGCATGGCACTCACTCTGTGTGTATGTTTGTCGCAGGAGGAGGAAGAGTTTGAGTGACCTTTAGATACATCGCCTTTGAGGCGATTGATTAACCCATGTCATGCGCTGATGTAAAACAATACATGCGCATGGCACTCACTCGGTGTGTATGTTTGTGGCAGGAGGAGGAGAAGAGCGACCTAGAGGACGAGCTGGAGTATCCTCTGGACACGTCGCCTCCGAAACACCTGAATAGTTCGCGTCATGTGCACTAGTGCAACACAACACATGGTATAACAATTACTTTGTGTGTGTATGTGAGTGTGTGTGGCAGGAGGAGGAGGAGAGTGACCTAGAGGACGAGCTGGAATACCCGCTGGACACGTCTCCTCACCTCATTTCCGCCGCTGCATCGTTTGTCAAGGTGTGTATACGAGTTTTGAGCCAACTGCATCGTTTGTCAAGGTGTGTATACGAGTTTTGAGCCAACTGCATCGTTTGTCAAGGTGTGTATACGAGTGTTGAGCCAACTGCATCGTTTGTCAAGGTGTGTATACGAGATTTGAGCCAACTGCATCGTTTGTCAAGGTGTGTATACGAGTTTTGAGCCAACTGCATCGTTTGTCAAGGTGTGTATACGAGTTTTGAGCCAACTGCATCGTTTGTCAAGGTGTGTATACGAGTTTTGAGCCAACTGCATCGTTTGTCAAGGTGTGTATACGAGTTTTGAGCCAACTGCATCGTTTGTCAAGGTGTGTATACGAGTTTTGAGCCAACTGCATCGTTTGTCAATGTGTGTATACGAGTTTTGAGCCAACTGCATCGTTTGTCAAGGTGTGTATACGAGTTTTGAGCCAACTGCATCGTTTGTCAAGGTGTGTATACGAGTGTTGAGCCAACTGCATCGTTTGTCAAGGTGTGTATACGAGATTTGAGCCAACTGCATCGTTTGTCAAGGTGTGTATACGAGTTTTGAGCCAACTGCATCGTTTGTCAAGGTGTGTATACGAGTTTTGAGCCAACTGCATCGTTTGTCAAGGTGTGTATACGAGTTTTGAGCCAACTGCATCGTTTGTCAAGGTGTGTATACGAGTGTTGAGCCAACTGCATCGTTTGTCAAGGTGTGTATACGAGTTTTGAGCCAACTGCATCGTTTGTCAATGTGTGTATACGAGTTTTGAGCCAACTGCATCGTTTGTCAAGGTGTGTATACGAGTTTTGAGCCAACTGCATCGTTTGTCAAGGTGTGTATACGAGTTTTGAGCCAACTGCATCGTTTGTCAAGGTGTGTATACGAGTTTTGAGCCAACTGCATCGTTTGTCAAGGTGTGTATACGAGTTTTGAGCCAACTGCATTGTTTGTCAAGGTGTGTATACGAGTTTTGAGCCAACTGCATCGTTTGTGAAGGTGTGTATACGAGTTTTGAGCCAACTGCATCGTTTGTCAAGGTGTGTATACGAGTTTTGAGCCAACTGCATCGTTTGTGAAGGTGTGTATACGAGTGTTGAGCCAACTGCATCGTTTGTCAAGGTGTGTATACGAGTTTTGAGCCAACTGCATCGTTTGTCAATGTGTGTATACGAGTTTTGAGCCAACTGCATCGTTTGTCAAGGTGTGTATACGAGTTTTGAGCCAACTGCATCGTTTGTCAAGGTGTGTATACGAGTGTTGAGCCAACTGCATCGTTTGTGAAGGTGTGTATACGAGTTTTGAGCCAACTGCATCGTTTGTCAAGGTGTGTATACGAGTGTTGAGCCAACTGCATCGTTTGTGAAGGTGTGTATACGAGTTTTGAGCCAACTGCATCGTTTGTCAAGGTGTGTATACGAGTTTTGAGCCAACTGCATCGTTTGTCAAGGTGTGTATACGAGTGTTGAGCCAACTGCATCGTTTGTGAAGGTGTGTATACGAGTTTTGAGCCAACTGCATCGTTTGTCAAGGTGTGTATACGAGTTTTGAGCCAACTGCATCGTTTGTCAAGGTGTGTATACGAGTGTTGAGCCAACTGCATCGTTTGTGAAGGTGTGTATACGAGTTTTGAGCCAACTGCATCGTTTGTCAAGGTGTGTATACGAGTTTTGAGCCAACTGCATCGTTTGTCAAGGTCTGTATACGAGTTTTGAGCCAACTGCATCGTTTGTCAAGGTGTGTATACGAGTTTTGAGCCAAGTGCATCGTTTGTCAAGGTGTGTATACGAGTTTTGAGCCAACTGCATCGTTTGTGAAGGTGTGTATACGAGTTTTGAGCCAACTGCATCGTTTGTCAAGGTGTGTATACGAGTTTTGAGCCAACTGCATCGTTTGTGAAGGTGTGTATACGAGTGTTGAGCCAACTGCATCGTTTGTCAAGGTGTGTATACGAGTTTTGAGCCAACTGCATCGTTTGTCAATGTGTGTATACGAGTTTTGAGCCAACTGCATCGTTTGTCAAGGTGTGTATACGAGTTTTGAGCCAACTGCATCGTTTGTCAAGGTGTGTATACGAGTGTTGAGCCAACTGCATCGTTTGTGAAGGTGTGTATACGAGTTTTGAGCCAACTGCATCGTTTGTCAAGGTGTGTATACGAGTGTTGAGCCAACTGCATCGTTTGTGAAGGTGTGTATACGAGTTTTGAGCCAACTGCATCGTTTGTCAAGGTGTGTATACGAGTTTTGAGCCAACTGCATCGTTTGTCAAGGTGTGTATACGAGTGTTGAGCCAACTGCATCGTTTGTGAAGGTGTGTATACGAGTTTTGAGCCAACTGCATCGTTTGTGAAGGTGTGTATACGAGTTTTGAGCCAACTGCATCGTTTGTCAAGGTGTGTATACGAGTTTTGAGCCAACTGGATCGTTTGTCAAGGTGTGTATACGAGTTTTGAGCCAACTGCATCGTTTGTCAAGGTGTGTATACGAGTTTTGAGCCAACTGCATCGTTTGTCAATGTGTGTATACGAGTTTTGAGCCAACTGCATCGTTTGTCAAGGTGTGTATACGAGTTTTGAGCCAACTGGATCGTTTGTGAAGGTGTGTATACGAGTGTTGAGCCAACTGCATCGTTTGTCAAGGTGTGTATACGAGTTTTGAGCCAACTGCATCGTTTGTCAATGTGTGTATACGAGTTTTGAGCCAACTGCATCGTTTGTCAAGGTGTGTATACGAGTTTTGAGCCAACTGCATCGTTTGTCAAGGTGTGTATACGAGTTTTGAGCCAACTGCATCGTTTGTCAAGGTGTGTATACGAGTGTTGAGCCAACTGCATCGTTTGTCAAGGTGTGTATACGAGTTTTGAGCCAACTGCATCGTTTGTCAAGGTGTGTATACGAGTTTTGAGCCAACTGCATCGTTTGTGAAGGTGTGTAAACGAGTTTTGAGCCAACTGCATCGTTTGTCAAGGTGTGTATACGAGTTTTGAGCCAACTGCATCGTTTGTGAAGGTGTGTATACGAGTGTTGAGCCAACTGCATCGTTTGTGAAGGTGTGTATACGAGTTTTGAGCCAACTGCATCGTTTGTCAAGGTGTGTATACGAGTGTTGAGCCAACTGCATCGTTTGTCAAGGTGTGTATACGAGTTTTGAGCCAACTGCATCGTTTGTCAAGGTGTGTATACGAGTTTTGAGCCAACTGCATCGTTTGTGAAGGTGTGTAAACGAGTTTTGAGCCAACTGCATCGTTTGTCAAGGTGTGTATACGAGTTTTGAGCCAACTGCATCGTTTGTGAAGGTGTGTATACGAGTGTTGAGCCAACTGCATCGTTTGTGAAGGTGTGTATACGAGTGTTGAGCCAACTGCATCGTTTGTCAAGGTGTGTATACGAGTTTTGAGCCAACTGCATCGTTTGTCAAGGTGTGTATACGAGTTTTGAGCCAACTGCATCGTTTGTCAAGGTGTGTATACGAGTGTTGAGCCAACTGCATCGTTTGTGAAGGTGTGTATACGAGTGTTGAGCCAACTGCATCGTTTGTCAAGGTGTGTATACGAGTTTTGAGCCAACTGCATCGTTTGTCAATGTGTGTATACGAGTTTTGAGCCAACTGCATCGTTTGTGAAGGTGTGTATACGAGTGTTGAGCCAACTGCATCGTTTGTCAAGGTGTGTATACGAGTTTTGAGCCAACTGCATCGTTTGTCAAGGTGTGTATACGAGTGTTGAGCCAACTGCATCGTTTGTCAAGGTGTGTATACGAGTTTTGAGCCAACTGCATCGTTTGTCAAGGTGTGTATACGAGTTTTGAGCCAACTGCATCGTTTGTCAAGGTGTGTATACGAGTTTTGAGCCAACTGCATCGTTTGTGAAGGTGTGTATACGAGTGTTGAGCCAACTGCATCGTTTGTCAAGGTGTGTATACGAGTTTTGAGCCAACTGCATCGTTTGTCAAGGTGTGTATACGAGTTTTGAGCCAACTGCATCGTTTGTCAAGGTGTGTATACGAGTTTTGAGCCAACTGGATCGTTTGTGAAGGTGTGTATACGAGCGTTGAGCCAACTGCATCGTTTGTCAAGGTGTGTATACGAGTTTTGAGCCAACTGCATCGTTTGTCAAGGTGTGTATACGAGTTTTGAGCCAACTGCATCGTTTGTCAAGGTGTGTATACGAGTTTTGAGCCAACTGGATCGTTTGTGAAGGTGTGTATACGAGTGTTGAGCCAACTGCATCGTTTGTCAAGGTGTGTATACGAGTTTTGAGCCAACTGCATCGTTTGTGAAGGTGTGTATACGAGTGTTGAGGCAACTGCATCGTTTGTCAAGGTGTGTATACGAGTTTTGAGCCAACTGCATCGTTTGTCAATGTGTGTATACGAGTTTTGAGCCAACTGCATCGTTTGTGAAGGTGTGTATACGAGTGTTGAGGCAACTGCATCGTTTGTCAAGGTGTGTATACGAGTTTTGAGCCAACTGCATCGTTTGTCAATGTGTGTATACGAGTTTTGAGCCAACTGCATCGTTTGTGAAGGTGTGTATACGAGTTTTGAGCCAACTGCATCGTTTGTCAAGGTGTG